TAAATAAGCCAGTATGTTAGGCTGCAAGATATAGTTTTAATTGCTTCGAAACCTGGTGGGAATAATTTATTTCAAAGTAAAAAATATCTTCTGCATAAATTCCTGTGAAAAGCTCTTTTATGCGTTTTGCTGTGCAGCGCTACAACGCTGCTGCATTGAGCAGTGCAGGCTGGAACGCACCGGCCCGCGCGATGCGAGCATGCATTTTGGCACCATTTCGTACTGTATCAAGATCGCAAGGAATCACAATAAATAAAATTTTAAAATACTGGCCTTCAAAGTTTTAGAAGTTAATTGCGCAGCTGCGTGGCATGTCAGTTGTTCATATCGGCTTCAGGACGCGACAAATGGAAATTTGCTGGTGCGTGAAAAAGACCCACTGGAAGGGTTGAATTTGAAATCTTTTAGTCGGATTTGAGGAAACTTTCTTTTAAAATTCCGGCTTTCCAACTTTTCTCGTTCCCGAGCTAGCAGCTTTCCCACTAAAACTTTCACGTGTCCGTACGTAAAGCGCGGCAGTTCTAAGAAGTTGAATTTGAATTCTTTTGGTTGTACATGAGCAGGGAACATTTCCTTAAAATTTTGGGCATGCAGGAGAAAGAGCAGGAGAAAGAGCGTCGGTTGGGATGAAGTTGTTGCATTATAGAGCTGCATTTACCTCCGGATGCATGATTACCAGTTTTTGCATGAAGCCTGGTCGTTTCTTCGGTAAATGCTCGCTTTTTGAAAAAAATGCAGATTTCCTGATCCTTAAAAAGCGGAAATTTTGCTAGAGCGGTTGTTCATCAAAAAATCCAAGTACGCAAATGAAATAAATGACCATTTGCACATTTGGATGAGGCCGGTCGTTCGCCGCAAAACGCACTCTTTTCTGATTTTTCGTTAAAGTTGAGTATTTCTCACGCCTACCTGCAGAGAATCTCGCTTCTAAGCAGAATTTAGATCGCATTTAAAAATAGAATATTCCAGCGAATTTCCAGCCTCGCACCTTTCCGACAAGCGAAATAGCCATTTCGCTACAAATATCTTTGAAGTACCCTAAGTTGTGGCGCAATCGCAAATCGGCACTTATTTTCGGTAAACTATTTTTCATATGGGCGATAAACATGCTGACGAAATTTGGCCATTGTTTTCCGGCAAGTTTTCGAGTTAGCATAGTACCAAGTTGTAAAATTTGATGTGATCGTACGCGCTGCATAAGCATGCGCGATAGCTGAATTTGAAGTCTTTAGTTCGCAAATACATAGAGAACATCCCTGTAAAGTATCGGCTTTGTATCTTGCCTGGTTCACGAAAACGTTGGCCGTCAAAGAAATCTGCATATTTTTTTCGGAAATCCATACGCTAGGTCTAGGTGCGTATGAGTGAAAACTTTAAAACGGAAGTTTGGCGCACGGGGTGGGAATATATGCCCGAAATTTCAGCTTTTCCTGGTTGCTAAGATGAAAGTGGATAACAAAGTTCACTCGCTTCCGAACACACGCACACTCACGCACACACACAGAAAACCTCTCGACAGTATGTGTTTTCGCTGGCTGGCACAGCAAAAATGTACAAAAAACGCATATTGTTAAGAGATCGTCCGTGCGTTTGTGTGTTCGGAAGCGAGT